GCATCAGTGGAAGCTGTTAGCTCCTACCTAAAACGATAACGTGGGAAAGGATATCTATTCTTATAACGAACTCAAATTCTTGACTTAAAACCATCTTTCTGAAAGACGCTATCAGGAAAGCAAGGGACTGATTCTTATATAAGTACTAGCTCTGTGCTCTGTAAATAAGTGCTAGAGAGAAACACATCAATACCGACATGCACCTCAGCAGCGGTTTCCCGGCTCTGCTGTTGTCGTTCATTTACCCCCATCTCCCTTCCAGGCCTCCTAGTAACACTGAGAAATCTACAGGCACAACAGCACGGAATCAGATTATGATAGAGGACAAGTGTGAACACCACGGAACCTTCTTGCCCTGAATGATTTCAGAGATCCTCCCCACTCTCTCCTCAGAGGCACTGGCATAAGATGAATGGGAATTATGGAAAACCATTCCCAGAGCAGGTTGTTTTCGGCTTTAACTGTTCTTAATGTCCCTGGTTTTTAAGGCTCTGGATTGCTAGAAATCTAATTGCGTGGTGGTGGGGAGGGCCTCCTTAGTTCCTCTAACTCACTACTGAAGATTTTCCTCCACTACAGTAATTAACGAAATCTAAGAAACAGGGAAACTATAGTCAATGATCTATTATAAAGGTCAAACTTCTCTCATTTGTCACCAAAAAATGTGACCAGTGTTTAAATGAACTGCCTTGTTCTTTGCTATACTACAAAAACTGCTTTAAAAGGGCTAGATTTTTTATTCGTTTCATTTGGTTCACTTACTTGGACAGAGGTCCATGAATATAAACCAGGGTAGGTTTCAGGCTCTCAAAACTGCCAGAGAAATATTTTAAATGAGGGAATTTCCAAGTGATGCCCATTTCAGTGATGTCAGAGGGCCTACATTATTAAATAGTTTATAAATAAACGATTAACTATGTTAATAATCTTTTGCCACTGCTAATGCACTATCTGTCTCCAAAAGTAGGATATTAACGATAGACCCAATTCCACCAACGAGGAGACTCTTGGACTTAAAATACTTCTGCTGGTCATACCTCTGTTTTCTGGTACTCAGAGAAGGACCTGGTACACAGTAGGCACTGGGCAATTTCAGCAGGACTGGATTGGACTTGGTACTGGTCAGCTATACCTCGTACAACCTTTTATAAATGCCAAAGCCACATTAAATGTACGTACAGATTCTGTATGGAAGAAAAAGTTGTTCTAGAAACCTTAAAGTTAGTAATAGAAACTGCTACTTAGAAGCAAATATAAAACATGAAATTCATTTTAATCTATACATCAAATACAGCCTTTGCACAGAACATCTAACATGTAATGAAATGCATTTACGGGACACACTTAACAAAGCAAATCCTTAAATATTTGGCCTAACCCTCACACCTTTTAAATGAACTCTGTGATGACTGAATAAGATGGGAAATAAATAACCTAGCTACCTAACCTGGAGAAGACAGATGAATTGCCTCAAGTCTATTTGGTCTCTGCAGACATGATATTCACCATTCTAAGACTTGTGAAAGTTGGTTCTACAAAAAGCTTAACTCAATTACGCATTTTTTCCATAGTTACCTTAATATTTTGGTTTATTTCATTTTCTATTGCTTTTTTTTTTTATGGCTTCTTGCTGTTGTATTGGGGCATACAACACAGATCAGAGATTCTCATTTCTCAGAGAATTTTCTCTCCTTGAGAAATTGGCACTTTGATCTTTAGCTTGTATAACAGCTACATATATGGATCCTACCAGCACTGTTACCAATCTGGCTGCTTGCAAAATTCCAGCACTTTGGCCAAAAGAGTGCCCTGTCATTAAAATCTTCTTAAGTCAACTGTTTCTACCGCTGAATTCTTACATTTAAATAGATATGTGTGTGTGTGATTTACAGACATGTTATATCCTAAGCTTCTAAACACACACATACACACACACACACACAAACTCAGCAAAAGTGAAATGTCTCTCTTGAATAAAAAGCAGTTACAAAGGTATTAAAACAAATGCTGAAAATAACTATTTTACATTTAGGCCATAAAATTTTTAAAGGTAATGTGATAAGACCTAAGAGATCAAATATATCATATATGATTGTCATATATGCATGTTGTGTTAACTGATTATTTTTTTCTTTAATCAGAAAAGAAAAGAGCTTACCTTTGTATACTGAGATCACAGCTTACAGTCACTATATCTCAGCCTATTTTATACAAGTGATATGGCTACGAAGGTCCGAGGAGAACGAGAATAAAGTGAGATAAACGTGCTGAAAACTGCTTAAAAGTATTAACCTGAAATACACAGAGGGTCCAACACCAGTTTTAAAAATACATTAACGAGGTATTCCCAAGCTCTTCAATTAATAATGGTGACTGATTCATGATTTTCAAACATTCACCCAAATTTTTAAAGAAGAAAAGAAAAGGCTAATACCAGCAAAATCTATCAGTGGTCTGTTCCCCAGGTTAACGATCTGAAGAGACTACAAACGACTTCAAGAACTATATAAACCCTCTCCTTGCTTCACTGCACCATGCATTCCACCTAGTCAGAATGAGGTATGTTGGAAATCGATTGGACCAATTACCTTGCTCAAAAGATGGGGTGCTCCTGTGTAGCCTGAAGAAACACAGGCTGCAAGCCACATCCCTGGCCAGGCGCCAGCCCCCATGCAGCGGTTATGGCTTCAAGGAGGACCCCTATCTCTGAGAAATTATAATTGCGCTAACTGACACAGTCAAGAATGTAACTGTTTAATCTGTGTGCTAAAAAAGTTTAAAAACTCTCAGAAGATAGCACAGCTCACATTCTAAGTTCTACGATGGTCTGTAAACTCCCTGACAAGAGACTATACTAAGAGGGGTTAAGTACAGATATTGCTAGGTTTCCAAAGGAAAAAATTTAAAACAGACACCATGGCTTTGAACAAAGTATTGCTCTTCTTTAAAATGCTCAGTCATCACTTTCAAAAAGAAGGTGTCAGAGTAGTGTGTTTGAAAGCTGGAAAGCCTCAGGGTGTCACATTGCTCTTTAAAACCAAGACAGAAATTGCCATTTCAAGCCAGACAACCTGATGGTTCTAGAAGTCAGAGAAGAAATCTTGAGGGCCCAAGTGAATAATAAATGGTGCGACGCTCAGAGGCTGGCAATAGGGGCTGTCAATGAAAAAACCACCTACAGTGAAGAAAAGAGCAAAGAAGCAAAACTTTATGTTAATTTCACACAATTTAGTGAAGCCAAGAGCTTCGTTTATATTTCTCTGCTCTTTCAGCTGTAAGTGGAATTTTCATTACAAAATGGAAGGGTGGGAAGGGCAAAAGGTGGGGGGACACTTAATTCATTACAGAGAATTTAAACAGTTGAACTTGCATGGTTACCACTTCTAACAAAGAACCAAAAGCTTGATTATTTTAAGTAAAGCAGAGAAATGTAAAAGTTTGCAGCAACTGGGCAGGTTTACAACATGGTTAGTAACTTCCAACAAACAACAAACTTAAAAAAAAAAAAGACTTGGTATAAACCATTTGAAATGACTGCCATCATGTTGGAAAACAGCACAGCTCCCTTTTTACCATTATGAGGAGGGGTTGAGTTATGAAGCAGAGTCAGCTACTTCAAAAGAATTTTCTGAAGAGAAATCTCCAGAGAGATTCCACCTTGGAATCCAAATTTGATGATCAATTTCAAATAACAATACAGCTGCAGCTGCCAATTAATAGTATTCCAAAAGCAAAGAGGACTGTTGTAAATGTTTAATTAATAAGAACTGGATGCTACCAGCCATGCTTTTTCTTCTCAGTGATGGCTCTGTTTCATCCATAGGTCAGCAAAACGAATCAATGAAACATGAAAACTCCCAGCTGAAATGGGCCCTCTTGTTTACGTCTAGCCACTAATGCACAGGATGAGAATGATAAGTAACAGCTATTTCCAGCAAGTGATGAGGTTTTATTAAAGTATCACCCACCACTAATAAAAGGCAAAAAGTCAAGGAGAAGAAACAAACAAATCATTGTCTAATATACATCTGAAGAGTGACACCAATGTTTTTTTTAAATTGCCCATTCCACTCTCATTTAGTGGTCCCAAAGAAATACCATATATAAATTTGCCATACTTTGTGAAGCCCATTCTCACTGATGGGCACTGTTCAGTTCCAAAAAGCAGAATTTAATAGGGAAAAGGAAAACTAATTCATACTAAAAACAGACATTTTTAAGACACAGCAACTTGTAAATGTCAGCAGGGGACCATACTGTTACCTTCATGGGGGTGAATACCTTAATGAAACCATTACCTTCTAGTAACATCATCGGCTTTCCAAACAAGGTGAGAATGCAAGTGGAGGACTTAGGTCTGCACCCTTCACAGAACAGCACAATGTTACCGACTGATCAATTTCCACCAGCGTAATCAGGTGTCTTAAAAATAAATGCTGACCCATGGCTGAAACCTGTCACTTTTCACAGCAGCACTCAACAAGAACTGGGACAATTGAAGAGCAAGTTTTTATGGGGACCCTGTTGCTGCTTTAGATTCTGATGTAATTGAAGAGGAAAGGAGACCCTTCAATGAATACCAGAAAAATCACTAATCTTCTATCTGTATGAAAAAAGCCAGGGAGTGAACACAGTATCTTACAGAGTGAAGAAGGCCACAAGAACAAGAAAGGGTGATTGATCGATTAATTTATTATTTTTTAAAACTTGGAAATTCGGAAACGAAAATAATCGCATTCCTCCTTCCCCATCTCTGGGTAGTGCCATCATTTTAATAAGCAATGCTTGGGTAACAGAATATAACCTTTATCATGGGGATGCCCTTGTACAACAGGAGTACAAAGGGTTTACATAGTAAGAAGCCTGGCTCAAACTAACAATCGCCTTTACCTTTTTTAATAGTTTGCTTACAAATGAATGGATTTCTAAGGCTAAGTTATTGTTAGTTTTCAATTCCTTGTAATTTGATACCAAAACATATCAAAAATAATAAGCTAAAACAATATTCAAACCCATATTTTATTGGTTTTAATTACACACTTCAATATTTACAAAGTTAAAGTTTAAATGAAAAGTCTCTATTGTTTTAAAAAAAAAAATAACTACAGCCCGAATTAAAGTGCCCTGGGGCAAATACATATCAATGAGCTAAGAATCAGTGGCTGCATCAGGAACCAGGCAGTACTCTGTGTTACAACAAAGCAGTTTATTTGTGATCAGTGTTTGAGACTCTATACATCCTTCACAAATTTAATTTTACATAATCTGATACTTCTCTTAAAACTTAAACTTTGAACTACTAGATTTATTTCCCTAGAACAGAAGGGCTGGTATAAGTTATTTTCCAGAAATGAGGTACCGTTTCACAGAACTGGTTTTTTTGTTGTTTTCAAGTTTTAGAGAACTAAATTTGCATTTGTTAAAATCAAAAAGTAGGAAAGATGTTCTTTTACAAATAATTTTGATCAAGTATGTGTTCAAAGAAAGCAGGATAAAAAGGCTTTTCTCTAACATTCTGTATTGTACTGGATTGTTGTTCAATAGGAATTAGCTTCTGTCATTTGCTAAAAGAATGAGTAGTGGGGAACAGGATATGTTGGGAATTTCATAACGGGTAACAGAACCATTCTCTTGGGTAAACCTACAGAGAAAAGAAACGGAGAGGACTCCAAATAAGTTTAATACTCCAATAAAAATTTCAGGTAAAATTATCTTACAGTAATTATCACTAACCTTTTCCAGATTAGCCAGTCAATATGTACCATTTTGGAAGAGGCCCACAAATCTCTCACAGATTTCCTATTTTGAAATTGCTCCTAATATTTTGATCAATAATATTTTCCACTCAAAATTAAGATGGCTACATCATAGGAAGAAAGATATTCAGAAAGCATTTCATTTGAGTGAGCTGCCATGAATTCTAAAGATTAAAAGCAATGCTATTGATTAATATTCTGAAGTGACTCTAGAAATCCATATTGGTTCTCAATCTGGCACATCACATATTACAGGAAGAAACAGAAATTGTCAAGATTCAAAGCACAGCTTCAGTGCAGGCCTCAGCTCCCCTGAAAGACAGCTCCAACTGGAGCCATAACCAGGTGTTTGTTTATCTTCTTAATGAATGAATACTGCCAATATTGGCATGGCAAATCTGGAAAGATTAATTTCTTAATTTTGTAATTAATACGTTCTTGTGGCCTCACAAACTTCTGCATACTCAAGCATGATTTGAAATCCGCTCCTATTTCTATTTTAATATTTAACCTATGGAGAAATCACAAAGCAGCAACAGCAGGTATTCAAGAGCACCAGATGATCAGAGGGAAATTACCCCACATGCAACAGCTTTACAAAGGCCAAAAGACATATTTACCTTACAGCCAAAATAAAGCATTGTTTTAGTAGGTTTGCATCACAGTAACATTTAAAAACCAAATCTTTTATGTGAAAAATGGGGGCATCAAATTTCATGAGCTTTGGAAGTCAGTTATATGGCACATGGAAGAGAGGAGCCACCTTAAGTGGGGGCTAAGAGGCCACAGGGTGAAAGTATAATGTTAATGTTAAAAGAGGAAAGGGAGGAACAAGAGAGAAAAATTAAAAAGACTGAGAAAAACATGAATGTGACTTAGAGTCTACATATAAAAGTGTTGTAAAGGGAAAAGCAAGCTCTAGAAAACCTTTACTAAACAATCTGAAACTTACTACATGTCTAAAAAAAAGACACAGACTTAAAACCTGCCCTAGGAGGCAGATGCTTTGGTGCTCACACACAACAGTACAGTGAGTCCAGTGAGTCCAAATGTGTCTGCATAAATTGACCAGACCTAAATTTACAGGAAGGATGATGTGATCAAGATATCCAGAAGCTAGCCGAAAGGTAAAAAGCAAGTGCCCAAACCAAAAGGAGCTAGAGAGTTTGCATTTAGAAGGAAATCTGAGTGAAAGTACATTCTTGGATTAGTCCCCAATTCCTAATCACCCCATAGTGGTCCAGCTCAGAGAGGGGAAGCCTTGACCACACCTTAGTGTGCCAGAGACAACATTCAGGTAAAGAATGTAACTCCAGGCTCTGCACTTTGCCTTAAAAAAAAAAACTCGCTCCTAGTGTTTGACCCTTGCAACTTCTCCACATCTTTCCAGGATAAAATTGTCTATCTTAATGGGCAAAGTGGTCAAACTATCCATTTTCTACTTATTTCTACAATTATACAATCAGATGAAGCTCACTTTAGCAGTGTCTTAAGGACCCATAATTTTCATCCAAATGAAAATGGCAAAGCTGATGCATGAAGAGAAAAACACAACGCAAAGGTCTGGGGCTCGTGTAGAGAACTAACACCACAGTAGCAATACATGAAGGGCCTTTCCCTTCTGTGAGCACACCTGCCAGCCCAGGGGCATGCTGACACGCACGCTCTCACACACACGTGCACACTCTCTTGCTCTCTTCTCTCAATGACAAACATCCTGCAGATGGCTGATTCTGTAACATGTAGCACCTGAGTTAGAAAAAAATGTCTAAGAGCATATCACTGACTCCAAACCTATTGCCTCCATTGCCACATAAACCTCATTCAAAAGTTATCCAAAGGGCCACTGGGGTTCATTTATGCATTTGCTTTTATTTTTATTTTGTGGGGGAGAAGAGACAGGCCTATGATTTTTCTAGCATATAGTACATACTTTCTGCAGGAAGCACTTAGGTAATACTACTGGTAAAACCCCCACCACCACCTCGTCTAGGACCAATGACACCCATTTACTTTATTCCCAAAGCAAAATTTATGGAAAATAATAATGCCTACAAATTTGAAGTGAGCATTTCCTATTCTTGACTCAAATCACCTACAGTTCACACAGTTCCAAACAAGAAACTTAAATGTAACTATATAACTGGCTAGGAACTGGGTATGGCCCTTCGGTAGCCTTTGAATGGAGTATAAGTTGGCTGTAAGAAGAATACTTAAAATATTTAATTCCAATATGGTCAGAAACAGGCAATTAGAACAAGCAGTCCTTCAGTCAGGCAAAGCGGAGAGAAGAGCAACTCCAACCAAACCAAGAACCACAAGGTTGTGGCATTTTCAAAGGGAATTTAAGTTGGGTCACTAGAATAGGTCTGAGATCCTCTGATTCACTTACAGAAACCCTAAATACAAAGTGTGCTTTGGATTGTTGTGACAGAGCCTCTAAGAGGAGAAATTAGTAAGATGGTGTACATACCATAGGCAGGGGCAGCTGTGCTGTAACCATATGGTGTTCCATAGCCTAGTGCAAAGAAGAAGAAAGCAGATCAGTCTAGGACCAAGGGCAATCGCCACTGGCCCAATTCACAAGCACCACATGGCGCAATCGCCACTGGCCCAATTCACAAGCACCACATGGCGCAATCGCCACTGGCCCAATTCACAAGCACCACATGGCCCAGTACCCTGGGCCCTGAGCAGTTCTTCCAGATGCTGGATGAATGCGAACCACGCCAGTGGTCCTACTCTAGCCAATCTCTCTTTGCCCACTTAGAAGCAGAAGCTCCTCACCATGGCCTATAAGGCTCTGCTTGAACTACCAGAACATCCTACATCTTTTTCTCATGGCACTTCTCACACAATACTGTAATTATTGACTCACTGTCTGTGTACCCACTAGAGTGGCAGAGACCAAATCTTATTCATCTTTGCATCATCTGAAACTATCAGAATATATAGCATATAGTAACCACACACTGCATGTAATTCATTGAACAAAAGAATACTTAGAACTACTCAAATCACCAATTTCTCAAAGTTCGAAAATAGAACCTTCCAAGTCTCTTTTCAGAAAGCAGTGACAGAACAGGCTAGGCCTCAATTGCCATTAAAGAGAGCACATGGGTCAGGTTTTAAGTCCAAGGGCAAGGTCCACAACCTGTTGATATCTGAGTTCCTGGCCCCTGCACAGGGTGTCCCAGTAAATGTTGGTGAATTTGACATTACCATATGATGCCTATGAAAAAGGTTCATATTAAGTGAAAACTAATACAAAGAACACAGAAGTTTTGGAACCAATTAATTCTGGCACTAATTTATTCTATCTCCTTACTCAGACAAACAATTTCTGAGTTACCATTTTCTCCTCTGTAAAATGCGAAACCTCCCAAGCTACTTTATGTGTTGTTGTCTTGTTTTTTTTGTTTGTTTGTTTTTGATGGCTGGTCAGTACTGAGATCCAAACCCTCAACCCTGGTGTTATTAACACTGTGCTCTAAGCAACCAAGCTAATCAGCCGGCCCTTATGTGTTGTCATAGGGGTTAGAAATATTACGTTAATAGAAGCTGCAGTCTTTAATCTTTTGGTAAAAACAAGTTTAAAATATGCAAATACAAAATCACTTGGGTAAATTTCTTGAAAAAAATGGTTTCTGAAATAGAACAAGGGCTTAAAATCTACATGGGCCCTTCACATGGCTTTGAAAACAAATCAAGCTTTTTTCATATGATGACCCCTTTTTTCTATAACCATTTCTGCTACTTGGAATGATTTTTTTTTTCCTTCTTTTCTAGATAACCAACTACAATTCATCCTTGAGATCAGGATCAAATATCACCTCCCCTGTGAAGTCTCCCAAGTTGGCTGTTCACTCCTCTGCCCACCCATGTTACATACAGTTTTCATCACATTGTGTTTAATGAAGTGCCTGTCCCTTCCCCATCGAACCCTGAGCATTTCTTGCAGCAGAGGCTAGGTCTCAGTCATCTTTGAATGCCCAATTCTGGATCTCCTGTTTGAGACAAAGCACTCAAATGTATGCTGAAGAAGTAACTGCTTTTAGGGTCAAAATATTTCCTGAGGGATGAAAAGGTTTTAGTTTTTAGTCTACACTTAAGTTGTATAAAACTAAGGGTTTTAGTCTTAGTGCTCAATAAATTATATATTTTAAGAGGATACAATGCAGCTGAAATAAACAGTAGAAACAGGAGATGGTATCAGAGGCCAAAAGAGAAATTAACGCTTAGAAAATGTTGTTTATCAGATCTATTCCAGGAAATGGCAGCTGTTTGACTACTGCTACAGTTTCAAGGATTTTACCAAAACCTCCTTAAATAGAGATGAAACTACAACTACTAAGCTCGTCACTAATCAGGGCATTGGGGTTCTAATTCTGCCTTCAACTTTCACTAGCAAGGTGTCTTTGAACTGTACCTACTAGACCTCTCTGAGCCTCAGCATCACGTGCAGTAACTGAATCGGCAAGGGAATTAATATATATAAAAATACTGACGTCAGCTCCTGCTACACAGAATATAATCTGTAAATGGCATAAAACCTATTCATAATCTAAACTGATTAATCTGAATCTTCTCTAGGCCATCAAAGAACTTTGTTTTTAAAAGCTTCAGGAGACAGACCTTTCAGAGAGGTCAATGCAACGACATAAGAGAGAAGCCAGCTAGTGCAAAAGAGCTTGGCAACCAGCAAACACAAACGACTCCTCTCCTGATCACTGCCACGGGCCACAGCTGCTCACCACTCTAGCAGGAGGTAAATGGTCCAAGACCATGGCAGCAAGACATAACCAGATTAAGACCCAATGGTATACATAGAAGACAAGAAAGGTTCATCTCAATAACTTGCCTATTACTGTTTAATGAAAGCTTTGCCCTTTCAATAATGCACTGAATTAAACTAGAAATATGAAATGTCAGTAGAAATAGTGAAACACACAGAAGAATGTCTTGATTTTGGACACACAAACTGCATCAACTATAAGAAACTCATGACCTTTTCCCACTAACACTCACCTTTTCCTATTCTCTATATCATAAAAGTGCACAATCATCCCACTCAGTTCCTCTAGCTAGAAATCCTAGGCAATATCCTTGAAAGCACACTCTTTTTCATTCTATACACTAAATCCATCAATCCTGCTTCCTCAACATTCCTTCAATCTATTCACTTCTTGCCTCTCACTGACTTGCCTGAATCCACTAGCAGTACTTCCATTGTCTCTGGGTTACTAGTCTAAAACAGCATTCTAACTGGTCTTGTCAGGCCCACTCCTGTCCCTAGCATCTATTCTTCACACTATAGAAAGAGTAATCTTTACAAATAAATTCTCTTCTTGTTACTTTTCTCCTTAGAACTCTTCATGATTTCCCACTTAGAATTCTAAGACCAAAATCTGAATCACAGCCTCCAGGACTAGGACTGAGCCATCCAGCTTTAATTCATATCACTCCCCAAACTCTCCCTGCACCCACTGCTCTTCATACATCAGACTTTTTGGTCTGCTTCAGACGAGCCAAGTTCCCCTCACCAGCACCTCAGAGTCTCTGCACATGCTGTTCCCTCTAGGTGCAACACTTCAATCTAGGTCTTCCATGAGTGAATGCCTACTCATTCTTCAAAGCTCAATTCAAATGTCACTTCTTCAAGGAAGCCTTCAGGGTCCCACTAGACTAGGTCAGGTTCCTCTGCTACATGCCCCCATATCATTATGTCCTTCTCCTTCATCATACTCCTCTCGGTTTATAATTGTTATTGCTTGATAAATATATCTCACCCTCTAGAGACTATAAAGCTTCAAGAGAGCAAAATCCATGTCTGGTATGTGCCAAAGCACGCACACTCTTTATAAAACACATCTTTGAGTGATGCACCTACTGGGATCAGCTTTTGTAAGAATAATTCTAAAGCCACATCACTCAAAACTTCCCAAATAGCCTGTTCCAATTCTTAGAGGAAAACATAATCTAAGTGAACTGAACCCTTAGGGATGTTACCTAAAAAATAATGACTAGATAAGACCCAAACTTTATGACAATTTCATCGTGATCAACAACTACAAGGGTTTACTTGTCAAGTTACAAGTCCCATACCACAAAGAACTTGATTATAATGAGATAGCTGTATATCTATTGCTAAAATAACATAAGGATTAGAACAGAAAGCAGACAGAGGGCATCTTCTCTGATCTCCCTCAAGCCATGTGGTGAAATGGAAAGAATATGAACTTTGGAAATGCAACCACCTACATTCAAATCCTTGCTCTGCTGTTTAGTAGTTGTTTCAACCTGGGCCAGTTGCCTTATCTCTCTAAATCTCAGTTTCCTCACATGGAAAATAATTTGTACCTAAGGAAACACTGTGAAGATTAAAAACAATTAAGTAAAACCATTTATATGAAAATATCTAGTATATAGTAAGGTCTGGATAAATAAGTTTCCTTTTCTTTCCCTTTTTGCCTTTGATCGTTCACAAACACTAAGCTTAACAAATACTAATAATGCAAGCCTTTGCCCCAATTAAGTAGCTTCTTAGGAGCCATTTTTCTCTCCTGTCATACCCAACCTGTCTTCTATGTCCCCACTGAATATACTCTGCCCAGATATCCAAACTCCTCAATCTCTGAAACACCTATTAGACTCCTCATTGTCAAAATATGTTCCCTCAACCAAATGTGATATTGTTAATCTGTCACCTCCCTCCGGGGAGCCTCTAGTCACTCAGCAGATTCCAGGAGAAAACCTAGGCATTCTGTAGATCCTCTTCTTTTGACTTTCTGTGTACATTCATCTTATACCTGTGTAGAAACCCTGTATAACTTTGAAAAATTACGGAGACTCTGTTCTTTGAATTTTAGCCCAGAAAAGGGAGCCAATCTCTCGCAGGTTGTACTATACCTGGAGTTATGTAGCCAGGAGCAGCTGTAGCCCCGACAAAAGCTCCCCTTGTTAAAGTTCCTCTTCCTCTGCCCCGAACAGCTTGTACTGCTGCAGACACAGCTGTATTCACAACACCCTTTGCCTGTTAAAAATAACACATTTTCATTACTGACAGAAATAAGAACTACCATCCTATCATCTCTTTAATGCATAACCACTATGAGACACTGTGAGCCTGTAGGTGAGACAATGAGTTGTCTTTGATCTTGAACCTTCAATTTATCATCTGTAAAATGAAAATGAGACCCGCCTTACAGAGTTGTTCTGGAGAGTATGCTGGGCACATAAAAATATGCAAATAACTTTTCACTTGAGAGTATAACCCAGAAAGCATTCCATTTTCTACACACAAATTTCAGTAGTCAAATTATATCTGCAGTCATTGTAGGCTGACTATAAAGTAATTACAGACATTTGACTCCTAGGTTAGAAACTCACTGAATTCTTTACCTAGAGGCAGAAAATACCCCAGCAACAAATGACCTAGAATTAGCTGTGAACCTGAGTGTAGTTAAAAAGAAAGGAATAAGATAAGAGGACCAAAGATGAGGATGCCAGTTCCTGCTCTTAAGTGACAGTAACCTGAGGAAGATCGTGTGACTTCTTTGAGACTGTGTCTTCTATTGTATGTACATGTGCACACGTATATACATATGTATGTATCGATCATTAAATAAGTAAAAACCACCTCTAAAGCCCCTTCTTGCTCTTAAATGCCACAGGACTTCTCTCAGAGCAACTGAGAGAACAGATATAAAAACACTCTGAAAGTAGAACAGGTATGTCAAGGAATAACAGTACACAGGACCATGAAAACACTCATTTCCCAAACCGAAATTTTAAGAAAAGCAAAAGGTATCTAATTGTAAATTAAATATTATAGTTATTTTTAATATAGAAATGCAACAAAAACTCAAGCTAGAAACTACTAAGATTCCCTACTATAAATAAGCAACGTTCAAAAGAAGTGGTGCAGAGCCTCAAAGCACACTCTATGATGAAGTCAGCAGAGTCCAGGAGTAGGGAGAGCCCAAGCCGACACACGTTTATCTCACACTGAAAAGCCACCATCCTTTATTGTGTCGGGACAGCCTCCACCTCCAGTATGACTAGGCAGGAGAGAGTTTCAAGGTGAAATGTATCGTGCACAGGGACAGCCATTTTTCTTTTTGCCTTCTGAAATAAATCAACCCACACAACAAAAATAGACTTTCTTGGCTGTCAAGCACATTGAACACATGAATTTTATAGTTTCTAGTACAAAAAAATTCTAAAAATGAGTGAATTTTATGTAGACATCTTTTTCTATTTTAAAACACACAGCTTAGTCAAAAGTAGCTAGGAAGCAACAATATGGCTGCAACAGTGATTCCACACAAATCACGCTCATGTCTACTAGAAACAAACTTAACTACTTAAAAAATATCTACACATAGGCTTTTTAAAGACTAAAATTAACTGGTCAAATACAAGATGTACCCATGGGGGAAAAATAACAGTAAAACAAAGAGGCAACAATTATCTTTCTACTAATTTAGAATACATTCTGTACTATATTTACCAGAAGATTTTAGGGGGGAAAAATCTACATATTCCCTACATGTGTACCACTGTAATTTAAAGGATTTATTTTTATTTCATCTAAGTGAAAGTTAGTTTTCCCTGTTTATATTTTGAATCATAGAATTTAACCAGTGTTTATTATAGTAAATACAAAAAAAATTAGACAAATACAAAACAAATTTCTAGATTGATACAATATGCAATAGGAGGCCACCCATTGCCTCTGGAGGAAGAACCTGGTTTTAAAGGGAACCTCTATCATCAATTATGCATGTTACTGAAGACAAGGATCTTAATTTCCTCATCTGTAAAATGAGATCAATTCTTCCCTCCTACACTGGACTTAGCATATCTAAAAGAATCTAAATATAATGTATATGATAGAATCTTAAATAATCTAAGCTTCCTCCTATTAGTCTCAGCCTTTTTAATGTATTTGTTATCACATAAAATATTCAGACATTATTATTGCAACAGTACTCCATGAAGCAGAGAACATGTTATACGAATGTTTATCTATCTCTTTTTCCACACAATCATGCACACGGTATATGTCTAGAAAATATTCTTTAAATGCATAAATAAATGGATGGAATAATCTCATCCAAAAACCTATAATTAGGAGGCCATCTTTTCTAAATACCTTGCTAAGATTCTGGGCCCTCAGAAGCACTGACATTCTCAACGTCAGTAATGAAGAGAAGCAACACAGTGTCAAGTTCTGTGCTCCCCACAAAGGAAAACCCAAATTAACGATGCAAAAGGACAAAACTGGAAAGGAAATAGAAGGGCATCTGCAGATTCAGATGAAAGTAGTCTCCAACTACTCTTGGCAACTTCCCTAAATAATTAACGATGCAAAAGGACAAAACTGGAAAGGAAATAGAAGGGCATCTGCAGATTCAGATGGAAGTAGTCTCCAACTACTCTTGGCAGCTTCCCCAAACGAAACAAATGCTTACACCTCTAGTCCAAATCACCTCAACACTTTACCTCATCAAGAATGACCTCGAGCTGGCCGATTAGCTCAGTTAGAATGCAGCCTTATAACACAAAGGTCATGGGTTCAGATCCCCATGCTGGCCAGCCACCCCCCAAAGAGAAGAATGACCTCAACCCTCCAAATAATTCTTTTTAGTACATGATTTGCCTAGAAATACCACAGAATAGGGAACCAGATTTATATTATCCGTGACCTAATCCAAAGAAAAGGTTGCCAAATTTAAGAAAAAGAAACTTTAGAAAAAGCTGTAGTGGCACATGGACAGGAAAACAAATTTAATAACTTTAATATTTTTCAGAGGTATTGCAAAGACTTAATGCTTAACTCATACCTGAGGGATAATCTTCTTTTTCTTATTATTTGCCGCATTGGGTCCAGAAAACAGCTTCTCCAGGGCAGCTAAAGCTGCACTTGCCTTTGCCACTTTCTTATTTGGACCTGCACCTCTGAATTTCTGTCCATCTACCTCTACCTAAAATCAAGAACAACACTATGCAATTACTCCATGCAATTCCTCTATGTGGTTTTAATTTAAATGTATCAAAACACAGAGAACACCAAAAGTCAAATAGTGCCACAAGAACTGACTCAGTCTAACACTTTTTTACATACAAGTTCAGGATATGCTACGTCTTTGAGAGGAAAGATAAGGCTGTCTTGTATCTAGGTACATACCTCCATTACAAAGCGCTTGTCATGGCTTCCACCAGTCTCTGAGATGAGTTCATACTTGAGACCTCTTCTTTTTTCATTGAGCTCCATTACAGGATTTTTGCCACTTGCTGTGAGGATAGGGCCCTGAGTTCTTACCTAAAAGAAAAAGGGAATCTGAAGGTTCAAACAAGTAATATTTTAGAATATTAGATTTCTTATTAATACAATTATGTTTTTAAAAAAGAGGCTCAAAAATTCTACTTTAAAACATCTAGGGGCTGGGATGAGTCACCTCTGTACACGAATGGCAAAATATCATTAAAGGTGTGGAAACTCTACAAGCAATAAACATTGCAGTCATCTGGCCAGCCTGCCTTCAAAGCAGGGCTGTCCCAAGAGACCAGTATTCAAGACCAATGTAGCCTCACCAGTACAGGGCACTCCACAGTCTGATCTACGATGCTCATGATCTAAGAATAATACTCTAACTGACTAACAAAGAGGACAAAACAATTGGGATTCACATGATGCGTGAGGGTTCACAGTTTTTCATCTTTAGGGTTAGGAAAAAATAACTCAATTTGGGATGTGGGAGGGAAATGTTCCCATATACTTTCATTCTCTCTAAACAGACTTAAGGGCACCTAAGGTAAAAACAGTAGGCTACAGACTAGGGATGCTGAAATTTGAAAATAACAGTAAAAGCAGTCATTCTCTGCCCTCAAGGAGCTAAAGGACAGTGGGAGGGACAGATATAGCCACTGCAAAACAATGTATGTTACAGAACAGCTGTATGCTATAGAAACACTTTCTAGGGCAATCAAGGGCAAAGGGCATTCGGGACAGAAGAAACAGCGATACAAATGCCCAAGAGAGGAAAAGAACTTTGTTTGGGGAATGGCAAGGATTTCAGTTTGGCTGATAAGGCAGTGAGGAAAGAAAGCCAGTGATTAAAAACACGCTTGATGGGGCCAAATCACACAGGACTTTGTATGCCAAGCAAATGGGCTTTGACTTTAGCATGGACAATGGGGAGCTGCTGAAAGAGTTAAACCTGGAAATGACTAGACTAGACTTGTGTTATAGAAAAATCACTCCAGCAATGGTGGAAAGAACTGACTTGAGGACGGATAAGAATAGAAGCAGGGAAGAGAAGTAATTCATGCAAGAGTGTGAAGGCTCAAATAAAGAGAGAGGTCAGCACCAAAAACAAACAAACAAAAAAACCTACAAAATCTGTAATTTTGAGAAAAGAAAGACCAAAAAGATTGAGCACTTTTTGAGGTCTGAGATCATGTCTACAATTCCACCACGGTAATTGTTCAAGAAAGGCTGACCAAAATGAATGCTCAAAAATATTATTATGTATATAAACCTAATGGACAGTAAGATTCTCTTCATAAAGTACTCTATGCTGACTTGATAAGTGGTTGATGCTACCGAAGTAAAACAATGGACATTTTTTAAAGACAAGGTTAATAAACATTCCTGGGTCTTTTGCAATAATCATCCTTTTTTGGTGACTTTTTATAATCTACATTTTAAAAATTACATGGCAAATTTTCACTCTCCATCTTTAAAAGGTAATAAGAAATTTTTGAAACTAGGTCTGTAGTGATCACTCTCTGCTTTTCAAACCTGAAATCACTTTTACAAAATGAGTCGGGACATAAAAATATTTGAATTTTAATCAGTTACTACTATCTTAAATAAAGAAATGAAGAATAAGTATCCTCCCCCTGCTTTACTACATTCTACAGAAACAACGCATAGAAATAGTCATTACCAAAACCCCCATATACTCATGTGGCTGCTATTAGTGTGACCCACACCGCTCTCTCTATTCCTAATTCACTTTCTACTTAAAGGTCTGAACCTCATAATCAACCAGTCCTTTCTTCTCTTGGTATATATAACACTGTCAGCAAAACAACATCTGGCCCTGTGACCACTACTTTTGAATGGCTGGTCTTCTTAACAGCCAGATGCTGTGTCTTCTGTCCTCCACAGTATCACATGAGAGTCAAACATGGCATTCTCGGGCTTCGGCCCGCATCAGTCCTCTCTGTACTGGCCCATTTGGCACTTCTCAAACATTTACTTTCACAAGTCCAGGCTCTATCTCCTCTTCCTTTGGCCCAGAATGCCTTCTTTCCACCTCTTCCACACATCACAAAACTCATCATCTAAAACCTTGCTCACACTGTCCTCCCTTTGATTTTACATGACTATGTCAGAGGGTTTCTAAGTCTGACAACCACTTCCTCCTTTCAGATTTCACATTATTATATTCATTTTGCAATCGCGGTGCTTATCACATTACATTATCATTTGTTACAAATATGTTTTTTTGCCCTTCTAGCCTGGGAGCATCTTCAGGCTTTGGACACAATTTCTGGAGCACCTGGCACTAAGCAGATACTAAAAGGAGCTTACAGACTAAAAAATTAGTCTATTAATTCCTTAGTAAATACTCTTACAAAAGACAAAGTTAAAAAAAAATTTTTTTTCTTGACGTAAGCACCTACTATTACTTTAAAACCAATTTTGTTTACATAGAATGCAGTAAACAAGGACTCTGTGAATTCCTCAAAGTGTTGAGTATACTCAGTACTTGGATTTCATCCCATTCTACTATCTGTGGTGATAGGCTAACAGGTCAGGACTTAAGAGTCTGAGGTATATACTATGCCTTTCTCCAGGGCTGAACCAAGTAAATGATGACCCAATGCCCCTCACAGCCTAGCACAAACTCCAAATAATCCTTCCACTAGATTTTTAAGGATTTTCTTTTTTTGCCTTTCAGTTATTGTTGACACTTTTGATATGTTATAATTGTGAAATACTGGAAGCAGCTTCGATGGTCAGCAATAGAGAAGCTAGTTAAATTAGGGTATATATTCGTGTGTTGTACAATATACAGTTATGTTTATAAATATTTTCAGAGTTAAGTAAAAAAAATCAAAATGTAAAACTGCATGAAAATATGACTGCCTTCATAAAAATATTCATGAAAAAAGTCTGGATGGAAATAAAGCAAAATATTAATAATGTCTACATCTGTAATGTACAGGTCTGTATACACTTTGGTTTTCTTATTTATACTTTTCTGCATCTCTCAAATTTTCTACAATGTTCATATATTACTTTTTTTCTAAGGAATAAAATATATAAGTATACCTCTAAGGTACTGGAGGTTTCAGTTGTAGAATTTCCAGTATTATTGCTTGAGTTTGAAGACACGGTTTCATTTTTGCTTTCATTATCTGATTTTTCATCGGAACTCATACATTCAATATCTGCATCAAAGCCTGTTGGGTATCCCATTGCTTGCAATACCTATAGAAATTACAATATGATTCAGTTTTATTCAGACACAAAAAAACCACAGAGAATATATATAACACAGAGAACAAAAGTTTCAAATTCTGAACATTTGGACCCATAAAACACCTTTCAAGGTAGAGCGAGACGTGGGTATCCCATTGCTTGCAATACCTATAGAAATTACAATATGATTCAGTTTTATTCAGACATAAAAAACCACAGAGAATATATATAACACAGAGAACAAAAGTTTCAAATTCTGAACATTTGGACCCATAAAACACCTTTCAAGGTAGAGCGAGACGATGATATATCTATAAATCCTTGGTTAAATAAGATCTACCTACCAGCGTAGCACCATGGGAAAATGAGGAAATATGTCCCGACAGTAACTAAGTTTAAATAAAGGATGACAGAAATGCAAACTCGAGGTTGCTCTTGATTCATTTAATTTGGGGGTGAGAGGTAGGGAAAATAAACAGCATAGCCAGGTTCAACCAGTGGGATGAGGGGAAAAGGCAAACAGCACACTGTAAAAAGTACACTAGACTAGAAAGGAAAAAACTTGACTTCAATTTTCCGATCTGCAAAACAGGAAGACTGTATTAGCTGACCTCCAAATTTTATGACTCAATCCACTAGGAGAAATTGGCCCAGAAAAGGAATCAAGAAACTTTTTACCTCTGAACCAATGTGCTTGTACGAAATAACATCCAAAGGTTTCTATTTATTGACTTTGCTTTCAACTTATGGCAGAACAGAGACTTGAAAGAAAAGAGTCAGTCTCTAGGTTTATTCTCTATACTAGCCACGAACAATTCTAAGCTTGTATTTCCATCCCTCCCTCTCAAGGCCCGAGTAATTTGTGGCTATCTCCAATACGAGTATACGAGTATTTGCATTCGAAGCATGGGATTTCTCATATTTCTGAAATACAGCTTTCAGAACAGTGTGTATGTGTGTGTGCATACATGCACAGGCATGTTTACACGCACATGAACACATACATATGCCTTTTATTTTAATACCTCCTTCCCGGTTATGCTGCTTTCCAGATGTTCATAAGAGAACATGTTCACTAGCATTTTTAAAATTCTGTTCCTATGTAGGTTGATATTGCATTGTCAATTATAATTAAAGGTTTATATCAGAGGATATAGAAAACGGTTCCTAAAGATCCCTGTATTTGTTTCAGCTTTTAACTGTTTTAAGTTGCTGGAGTGTAAAAGCAACATCATATTTCTTTATAATACAATGGTTCTTGATAGTTGTCTCAAAAAACTATTACAATGGGCACATAAATGAGAAGCCAGCCTTTATAGACAATGGCATCTCACATGAAAGATTTTGTCAATATAAATAAAAGTGTTACTCTAAACAAAAAAGGGCCTTAAATAGGACTCTGTACCAAGAAGACTTAAATTAATTCACCCAATTCATACGGAAAACTCAGCATTCTCATCATAAACAAATTCCTTGTATTTATTTGGGAGTAAAACCAAGAACCATTTTTTAACATCTTAAGTTCTAAAAGTACTTAGGTAGTACTTTACACTGAGTACAGTAACATCATTTGGTTATATACTCATCAATATTTTAAAAAGAAAACAACTTCTCTGCTGAGTCTTGCGAATATGCTCTCCCTGAGAAATCTCATCTCAAAAGAATAGCTATCAGTCCAGAATTAACACTAGACAACATAGGCTGCAAGTCAAAAGCCAAGCATCACAAATAAATTTAATTTGTTTATTCCAACAAAAACTAAGGACATGCAGCTTTCCCCAACTCAACACAATTAAAATAGTCTAATATAAATTATATAACACCATTTCTCTCCACCCTTTTCTCACATACCATATTCATTTACTTGTTACTGCAGCAACATATTTCAGTACATTTACAGACAGTTTATACAACTGATGGTTTATCTCTCAAGGGATACAGTGTCCATTGGTGATACAGCATAACAAAAGAATTTAAAATTAAGTCATTTTTATATGAACACATACTCAAAGTATTTGTTAGTATATGCTACAGAAGTCAAGAAAGTAAAGAGTTCTCAGACTTCTGGAACTGACAAAGACTCTCTTCTTAACCAAACTCTCTGAGCTACTTTTTCAACTAGGTCCCAATCCTTGGGCCTCTTCATTAAGAGCCCAGTTATAGCAAGAATTCTGCTAAGTTGCTGGAGCCAGAATCCCACACCCTCAGTAGCTAATCATCCTGATCGAATTTCCTAATCTCCCACCATCCCCCAAGTGATATCTGATCACTCTGGCCTGCCTTCCGCAAGAATCGTGTTTGATCTGTTTAGCCAGAAATCCCCCTTTACCTGTGATGTTTCCTCTTAATAATTTTCCATCCACAGATCCCTCCCTATTCCTTGGCTATAAATCCCCACCAATCCATGCTGTTGTACTCAGAATTAAGCCCAGTTCTATACTGAGGTCTCTTTTCCCCTACTGCAATAGTGCCTGAGTAAAATCTGTTTTTATCAGTTTAACAAACATCCAGCTCTGTTTTTCTTCCACAGAACCAAAGTTTGTTTGAAATCAATATTAAGGACAAAAAAACTTATATACCAAAGAAATGTGAGTTTCAAATGTCTGGCAAACAAATTCAATCCTAATAAACATATCAACTGAGCTAAAAAAAAAAATCAGAAAACAATCCATGGAAAGAAGGTGACTGGGAAATCAACTATCACCACGGCCCCTTCTTCCTGGAGATTGAGAAAGATGACACCCTCGAAGACTAGGGGCCAAAAGTGAAAACACTCAGCTCTCTACTCAAAAGAAAGCAACATTTGTGGCTTCGGTATGATAGAGATCTGATTTTCAGGGAATCTGATGGCTCCGAGAACCTCTCCAAGCCTTCGCTCCTGTCTCTTTCTAACTGATATTTTCTCCACAATGACTAAGGCTCTTTTCATAGAACAGGGCTGATTATGTCCCTAAAACTGTCCATTGTGAGGGGCTACCAGGATAAAGAATTGGAAGAGGAAAGGGTAGACTGGCCACTAATCTCCATCAGTTTAGGGTGCCTGCTGCTGGGCAGCCAGGCCAGGCTCCCATGGCAGGAACCAGTTTCTTCTTGTTTTGTTTTGATTTGATTCTCTGGTGTGATTTGTCTTAACCAGGTACAAACCCTGTACCAAGCTCCTGAGTAAGGACTGTCAAGATTTTTATCTAGTGGGACCTACTTCCATAAACACATTAGAAGTAAAGCTCTCTCTCAGGCTCACTTACAAACATAACCAGTAACACGTGGTATAACATTTATGGATGGTAATTTAACAACATATGCCTGGCATATAGCAGGAATCTGAATACATTTTTTAATGAATTAATAAATCAGTCAAATGCACTTTCCTTTGACCTCATAATTCCATCTCTAGAATATATTTTAAGGGATAATCAGACAAGTTCAAAAAGATGTACAGCATCTAAAAACTGGAAGCATCTAAATCTAAAATAATTACCTATATCATGGTAGCTTGATAATAATGAAATATTAGGCCATTAGTAAAAATGAAAGCAATCTTTGTGTTAACTATAAAATAAAAGTGATATAGATATATTTTTAGATGAACAAAAAAAAAGCATGATCCTATTTTAAGCATATATTTTTTATAGACATTATGTAGGTCCACCATTTCTTATCTGAAACCCTTTCTGGTGTTTCATAATTAGTCACTTCTGAAAGCTAATACAATACATATACTACATATTATCCAAATCCCCAGTGGGGTTCTCAGGAGCTACCCCATGTTTGTACATACGAACATGTAAAATATTCACGCCAAATGCAATAATAAAGACCCAGACAATAAAACAGCCCCACATCAATTCAGGTCAGATTTTGCTACCCAGTGAGTTTGCATCAAACTTAGGGAAATATTTTTCATTTTCAATATTTTTTGGATTTTAGAATTGCAGGTTAAAAAAAAAAAAAAAGCTTGGAAAAAATACAAACTGAATACATACCCCAATGTTACTATTTCTAGGTATTGGAATTATGGATTTTCTCCCCTCATCTTCTAAACTGATTATAACAAACACACATTACACATTTATGATAAGAAATAGAAAAGCCAAAAGTAACTTTTAGAAAACCAGATGTACAATAAAACTGCAAAGATCTTAGGGACGTCTGTCTTAACACAGAAAACAAATTCTGGAATACACCTACCTAGTGCATAAACCTGCATGAGACTGTGGAGACCCAGAAGAGACTACAGGCTACTTCTAACGGACAGCCAGGAACAGACCTTCGTATCTTTAAATTAGCTAGAAATTTGTGACCTATTCTCATTGTACACTATAGCTAAGTTATTAAACTATACTTTTAACCTTATTGCTGGGTTCACTTTTTCCCTCATTCTTGGTTTTCTTTTTCTGCTTCATTTTAAACTCATACTTTTTCACCATACTTTAAGATATCCATTTGTAAACAAGAAAGAACATAAATAATATATTATTTGATATTTTTATAGCTTAGTTATTATTTGTCTACATTGTTCTAATCGCTATCTGACATATTATATTCCTTTGCATATTTGTTGTCTGTCTCCCCATCCTATCCACACTAGAACGTAAGCTCTATGAGGGCAGGGACTTTGTTTTGTTTGCTGCAATATCTTGTGTCTAGGACAGTGTTTGCATCTACATTAATGATATCTGCAAAATGGAATGACCATGAACACATACCAATCATATGGGTACTTCAAAAAGTTCGTGGAAAGGGCCGGCCCGGTGGCGCACTGCTATAGTGCGCCACTTGGGAAGCGCGGTGGTGCTCCCGTCGAGGGTTTGGATCCCACATACATCGCGGAACAACACTATGCAATTACTC